ATAAGTACATAAAATAAAATTTTCGAGTTGTGCGATGCACAAAAATCACTAACAATCTTCTAATTCATGTTGATTAATTATGAATGCCAAAAAGCTAGACATCAAATGCTTGTTGATTTCGTAGAACATCGACAATTCAGATACATAATTGCGAATACTCCATTTTTATATTTCATTATATCCAATTCTTCAAAAGAGTCAAGTAGTCTTTTTTATACAATAATATAGAATCTTATTCTATAAAGAAATTTTAAAATACTACAGTAAAATCCTTATCTACTATATTCATTAAAAGACTACCATAAGCAAAACTTTAATCAAAGCCAACAATAAAAAATTATCATAAAATAATAAAATCTTAAAACAGTAAAATAATTGTTAATTTCCCTATGCAAAATAATTGATAATTGATAATTATATTCAAATAAAATGACAGTGTATAATATATATATATATAAAAAGAAAAACGTTGAGACAGATGTGTATAGTTAATCAATGACTAATGGTGTTCATGGAAAATGATAACATTCTTTCGCGGAACATTAATAAATGACTGGTTTTGTTTCAAATTAAAAACTTGTTTATATCCTTCAACAACATCATATGAAAGAGGAAATAATGAATCAAAAGGCTTGTGATGTGGATTACATAACCAAATCATCATCAAAATTCTAACCAGAGGATAGAAAGTTTTGCAGTAAGTGGAGACAATGAACCTGTGACGTGGATTACTTAACCACATGTCACGTGTTAATTGGACCAGAGAGCTTGGAGATGATTGTGCTAGTTTAGGAAAATCGTGGACCATATATTAATCCAATGGCTGGATTTAGTTTTGTGGTTAATTTCTCTGTGCTAAACTTGTCTCTTTCCAACTTTTTCATAGTATAATGTTTGAATTTTGAATTCAAATGTCTTGACCGTTTAATTGCAAGTCTCTTCACATGGTTTTATTTGGATTTGGAAAACAAGAGAGAAGAAAAAGTAACTAAGGGGTGACACTTGTTCTCTGGCAAGAATTGTTGTGGCAATTTTTATTTTTGGTTATCCATTGCCATTCCCTTGGACAATGATGATGCTTTGATGTACTCTGACTAAAATATGATCTCAACATCATAGAACTTATCGGTGGTGAAGTTGAAGAAGATTTGTGTTGATTTTGTATACTTTGAGAGTTTTTTTTTGTATTGTTTACAATCTACAGAACCATACCATACCAGAAGGTTGGGATAGAAAGTAGAAACAAACGTTTACTACTCATAAAATGGACAAATGAAAGTCTTCTTATGG